ATAAAATCCATCCTATGGCGCAGGTGTTCTCTGGAGATGTTTTCCATGTGAAGAGACATTGCGTTAAAACCATGCCAGCTTGAAATGATGTTTCAAGTGAACATGGTAACTAATGACAATTTTGAAACAGAACAATCGGTCTTCAAGACAATCGGACTTGGCTAGGTCCCATTGATGTGCTCGGTAATGGGCAGCGTGCAATGAAACAAGCATCTAGATCGTCAATCTAGATACTAAATCACACACACACACTATCACCAATGTATATAAGTTCGAGGGTGAGTACAATAGAAGCACTCGCGATGTACTTAGATTTAGATAATCTAGTGGGGTTTTGTCTGAAAACAACTTCAATTCTTCTTTCGATGTGTTTTACACAAGGTCACTAGTCCGCGATAGCGAGGTTTTATGAACTTGTTTTGCAAGGTATAATCGAGCAAGTTATACTCATTTTGACATCGTCTAGAAGAGCTTCTAGCGGACACTTCAAATAATCAAACACCAAAGACTCCAAGGTCTACAAAGAGTGCAAAATCACTCTACAAAGAACACTCAGGTTCTGACTTCAAGTACAAGACTTGCAAAGAGTACACAGACTCTGGAGTTCCTTGAACTCGATGATTGTTTCGAACTTAAAGCATTCTAGGGCTTATTTTACTTCAACTAGATGAGGTCTTTTGACTTAAAGTCGACTCAGCACATCTAGATTGCTAACTCAGAGAGAGAGAGCATGAGGCCTTGTCCATGGAGCAGTTCAATTAACTAGCAAGGCGCAAACATGGGGACGGCTCTACTTCCTACTTAACTCTTCTAGATACTGTAGTCGCCCTTATGGGTTGACTTTGGTAACTTAATTCACTTCAGTCGAGGATATGCAATAAAACCAGTGATTGATTAGGTAGCTATACAGGCTACTAGCACAAACGCAGGGGAATGCTTTCCTGCCATTATGCATCTAGTCGCTGCTAATTTATACGATTTGTGTTCTAGGTATAGGAGCCCATATCTACAGTAATTATGGTATGAGCTTTGGAATTAATACAAATGGTGAGTCACTATCCTACAAGTATCGTGCCATTCTGCAGTTTCTATTCAGTTCACACACGACTGCACCGGGTTATTCTGTTGCCGAAGAGTGCCCTACTAGTCCGTGGGCGCTCCTTCTTCTGTCTGCAAGGCTTGCCACACGCCATATGTATGGAATACTGCGGTATGCACAGGATCTCGAGGATGTAACCACTGATCGCAATCGACTGCAGGTCTGAGATTATATTCTGTTGATCACTGCATGATCAAGGTCGGTCATCTCGGTACCCAACATGGCTATTCATTCTTCCAAGGTTATTCCTTTCCTAGCCTGAGTTGATCTCGAAAGCTGATCTGTTTCCCGACTTTAGCAATTTTTCTTGACAGGTTCTTTCTACTCATCGAGGCGACGAGGCATCTAGTTCATTCCATTCTTTAACTTCTTGGTTTTTACTCCATACAGATGAGTCCCTGGATTTGACTGTAATAGTCTTGTTTAGGTGGGGCTTAGCTTGGCGTGTTGATGGCTGGTAGAATTGACTCTTCGAGACGTCATTTCTAAGTCTGTTCTGTACTGCCATGCTTTCATTCTTTATGTAGTATTTAGCTACCAGCGCAAAGCCTCCACTGTAGCTCTCTGTACCACTTGTAGATTGCATAAACTGATGTAAAATCGCAAAATCTATGGGTAGCCTGATACCAGGCATATCACCATTCCTTTCTGGCCATTGGCCATCGAGCTGGATGGCCCATGAGAATATTTAGCCAAAAAAAAATTTAAGTTTGGGAAGGCAAATATCCCAGTAGGTAAGTAAACCAGGATCAAAGGCCCACCCAAATTTATGAAGGTGCTTCGGCCACCTTTCAAGTCAGACAGAAACGGGGGTTCATAAACGTAGTTACGAACAAACTTCTATCAAGAATAGTACTATGTATGTTCAAAACTCTTGTAAGCAGAACCAAGTGCACCACTCATTACAATGATGCCTTTGCGGGAATTGCTCGAGGGAACCATGCATGTTTCCTTCACCAAAGAGTTGCTGTCCCAGAACACTGTAAAATGATTAGCTTGAGTTTTATCATTTTGCAATACATACACAGATTTCGCCATGACTTGGGGGTCCGTTGAAGAGGCTGACTGTGGGCACCTGTGGAATAGTGAGCGGGCTAAAAAGGCGAACCTCAAAAACCCACACACACTCACACAACTACACAAACTACAATCACCCTCGTAAGTTCTAGGGGGAGTGATTATTTCTAATGCGATCCAACTATACTTCAATATCTTGAAGAGTTTCTCTTATTCTCAGCGCTCTTAGCGAAGCTAAGCTTTCTCTAATGACTTCCTAAGTCTAGGAACTTTTTACAGGAAGGTCATTCACTGGCGCGATGCAACTTCAAGGCAGATTTGAGTTATAATACACAAGGGACACTGATCCCAACAGAAACAGAGGCAATACATGCCGAAACTTTAGTGAGCTCTCTAAAAGAACACCACAGGCAAGCACTGACTTAGCCCGCGCTACACAACTGTATGTAGGGGTTCTCCAACTAACTCCAGCAGATTATCTCGACTCAAGAACACTTCAGAAGCGCTCGGAAACAGATTCAGAAATGGAACTTCGAACAGAACTGACATGGAACAGACTGAACAGAACAGAACAGAACAGATCAGAACATCTCAGGTTTCCACTTCAACACATTCTCCGAACAGACTTATCACACACTTAACACAGAAACAGCGTCACTGATTTGTATTCACTCTGACTAAGTTCTCAAAAGTCTTATCAAAAGGGTATCTTGTATTCTCTGAGTGAGCTCGCTAATTCTATGCACAGCTTGAAGTCACAAACTGATCCTTTGTTACAGTACCACCTTCAACGCGTGCATGGGAACTCGGGGGCTCAAAACTTGGCCTCTACCTACTGTAACCAGCCTACTTATACTACAGGGGAATTGAATTACAAATGTCGTGCAGTACCCAGACTCCTACATGCATAGCACGTTGCCACCACCGCCTTACTGAGTATCTGGGTCGGACTTCCCAGTTTTAGTCTCATTTCTATAGTGAGCTCACTAAATGCGTGCCAAGAGGTGCTCTCCTGACACCCGTGGGCTTGTTCTCTAGCAACTGACAGGTCTAGGCACACGGAACTATCAGTTCTGGCATATGTTGTTCAGGACTTCTTTCTTGGATTCACAGAGGCTTCTCGTAGACATGGCAACAAGTGAGTCTTCGAACAATGGGACTCAGAACAATGGAACGCAGGCTCGTGGACTTCAGCTGAAGCCCATTGCCCAAGCTCGTGCCGGCAATATCTGTCATCTTGCTTAAGGATTTCCCTGGATTTTCAGGTACGACACATCACAGTTAGTGAGCGTGCTAAGTACTCTCAGTGTCACTGCAATCGTCAAGGTTTTATCTAGCTCCCGTGAGCATGCTTGTAAGTTAGAGCCTAAGGCATTGGGTATAGGGTTTGGCCTTCTCATCATGCATGCCCATCAGGTACAGTGCTGTGACTAAGTCCTGTTTAGAATCCTGTTGCTTCTTATGCCATAAGTTATATTCCATATCATTGCACCATGTAGCATTAGTGTCAACACGTAGTTTTAGTCCGCTCGCTCACTATATCTCAGTATGCATGTAAAACACTTTAGATTGCAAAATTACACGTGTAAATAGGCTGCAGTCGCAACACTGTCAGCCATTTTCCGGCACCTGAAGATGACATTTAATAACCCATTACTGAAAAGGAGATGTTGGAAGTACCTTGATAATCCGAGACAAAACACTTTCCCAATTCTGAGAGTATTGGAGGTGCTGCAGGAAGCATAAAAATGTGGTGATGGCAAGATGATCTTCGGAAACATCTCGAGCCGGTTCAGGGGCACCATTCGATACATACTTGACAAAGTCATCAGAATCTAGGAGTCATTCCACCAGGACACAAAACCCTGGCCAATTCCTTTAGCTTGACTGATTCTGGACATGAAGTCAGTGTTGACTGCTGCCTCAACAAGCGAAGGTCCGGAATCGGTCCAGGCGGTGGCCCATAGGATGACACTTTGGCATGGACCAATGCAATGGCTCATGTCATGAATGGCATTTGCCCAGACCAAAGTATTTTGCTTCCTGTAAGATGGCCATACATTCGACATCATCAGTCATCCACTGCACCCCTTGCCTAGTCGTGAGGCCAAAATACAGCCACTTGATACAGACTTTTCCCTGCATTGCTGCTGGAACATCAACACCCTCTAGGTTCATTCCAACATTTAGCAGCCCAAAGTGAGCCATTTTGAAAGAGCCAGATCCAAGTCGTTGTTCTTTCTTCGCTCTCCACCCAGTCAACATAAATGTGGTCCCCGTAACTGCAAAGTGAAGGTGAATTGAGGGCTTGCTTGAGAAGTCCAGAAATGAGTTGAGGGATCAAACAAATCTGAACTGCCCATTCTGGTAAAACCTAAAATATGTGTAGGTGAGTTAACGTGGATTGTTTTGGGTGTAGAACTCACCAGGATTGAAGCTGCTCTCAAGGTAAGTTCCACCGGTGGTGATAATGTCCGGAATCGCATCAAACTATTTGGTGCAGTCTGATACATCAATGCCAGTACAAAGTCCGCTTGCTGCTGGGAACGTCCATAGGAGGTGCTGGAGAAAGCTACAGAACTCAGTTAGCCTGGTAAGACTTAACTGGAAAGTCACCCACCGCCCATTTTGAGGAACATGACCATTCGCTATTCGCCTAAAGAATGATGTTAGGTTGTGCGACAAAGAGAATGTCCTGCTCTCACTGAGATGGTCGACTCAGGTGGGTCCGGAAACAATTGAAACATAATTGATATCCGAAAGGTCATCCGTCTGTTTAAAATCAATGAATATCCGAACAGGGGCATCCTAGTTAACGTACATCTGAATCAAGTTCTGGTTCTTTGCGCTTCTTCCCTTTTCCATTCTTGACAGGGGATGACTTGAAAGAAATCAATGTAAATTGACACATAATGATGATAATTGTACCTTTGGAGTATCCCACCAGCCTCCCATTCGTCATATCTTTCAGCCTGCTGCAGGGTTGAGTACCATATACCAGTTCTCAGGGGCTCCCTGAGAATATTTCAAGCCTCCGAACTGGTGTGCCCTTCTTGAGAGCCCTTTGGTTATACCTTTATAAAACAACTCTGTTGGTTGCATTAAATCTCCTTCCAGAACGGGTATCCACCCAGAGTCCACAACGAAGAAATCGTCAGTAGTGAACTTGAAGCCCTTCACTTTGTGATGGGCTTGTACTAAACAAGCAGGCTTTCGAGCACGCATTGCCAGACTTCAGCATGGGGAGTCGGAGGAGGAAAGGAGACACCACGTTGTAGTTCTGCCAAAAGTCAAATGGTGTAACCATGACAAAGTTAAGCTTACATGGAAGGAGATGCCTTTCTTTGTCCCGTTTTCCCTTTTGACCTGAACAAAGACCTTTGCACAAGTACGCCTTGACCTTCTACCATGAGTCTTGCGAAACTTGTCCTTCTCGGAATTGTAGAGATAATGAGCAGGCGAATAACCGGTTTTAAGGGCATTTTTATTCAGCAACGATGATATCGCGACTGGCAACCTCGATTCCGGTGCAGCTCCTGTCAGAGAGTACATTCACCGAACAAGAAAAGGTCAGTAAACATTCCTACCTTTCGCTTTGGCCTTCTTGACACTTTCATCAATCGAAAGGGTGTTTGGGATGGACGCAATGACTTTCAGAATAGCGTCAGGCTACTTTGAGCAGGTGAATTCCTGGAATCGTTGGAATGGGTAGGTGGTGCCATCTGACGGGCTAACAAAACCAATGAGATTTATCGTGTTGTGCACGTGGATAAGACTTACAGGATGACACCACTCCATCTTTCTTCGATAGATGTCTTGCAGCTGTGATGCAGCTTCTATAAAAGAATATTGGCTTGGAAGAGGTGAAAGCGCAAAAGGGCATACTTTTCTTTGACGCAAGTGCAGGCGCAGGATTTACAAGTCGTCAAGGTCAGGGTCTCAGTCCCCAGGTTCCTCAACTGTAGCAGGCCCATCCTTGCGCAAACATGCCTTCATTTGAAACTTTTCCTCCCCTGGCTGAAACTTGTATGGATCACCGTTCGCTTTGTGATTTTTGCAACGCTGGTATTCGCAATGATCGGAACTATCATCTAGTGCGAAGGTAAGATCGACCGGATCAACTGGGCCTGGAACGTGTCAGTACCTGCCAGCGCATTATATTGTCGAATACTTACTGGCACCCCCTAGAAGCAGTGATCGGAAATGTAAAGTCGAAAGGTCGCTCACGTTCAGAGCATCCAGCATCTCCATGGCGGATAAAGGAAGCCATCTGCCAGGCATGTACAAATGGAATGGACTTGAAAAGATACCGCAAGCATCCTGTCTGCCGGAGACTTTCTGTCTTAGAATTTCTAAGATATCTTGGATGGATGAACTTCCATTGACGACTGGAAAAACAGTTCACCAAAGACTGCGATCAATGACTTTGTAAAACTTACCGAGTGCAAAGTTCCCAGATGGACACTTTATAAAGATGGTAAAGGCAGGCAGGACTGCAGGAGCGACATTTTGCTCAGTTCCATAATCAGTCTCTTTGTGGGTTGAACACCTATGTGGAAGAAATGACGTTACTGAATTGCAAGGCTGGGTTTGCTAAGCACGCACAAAGAGACTTCGAGGTGATGGCTGTGAGCAGTCTGTGAGAGTGATAAAAGCCTTGAATATTCGTCAACTGAACTGTCAGTGAAAATACTCAGAAGAGGCTTTACCTGTGAAGAGCAGAAGCACGCCAACACAGCAAGACAAGAGGATGGCAAGTCTCTGCTTGAGAACTGGAAGTGTTTTCACTCATGAAAGTTTGGCGGTCTCCGCAATGAAAGTGTGCTTTATATACCGGTTTTTGCGCATTGTCATACCGTCTTAAAATGGTTAATTAATTATGGTAAAGACTACATTGCTGGGCCCAAATTCAACCAGTTTTTCAGCCAGAATGAAATAATTTCATCTTTTAGTGAAAGATATTCTTGGCCCTGGCGAACATTTCCACTTCATATAAAAAGACGCCGATATTTTCCATCCGAAATTGTAACGAGTGTCACCGGATATCCCAGAAAATCTTGTCCAATGATGCAGGGCCATTCATTGTGTCGGAATAACAGGACCCTAACGATGAGACAACTGTCAGTGTCTATGCATGTTTCCATTTCACGTCACGGAGACCAACACGAATAAGAGATATTCCATTGATTTTTCCAGATTTATGTCCGATCTAGGCCAGGACAACAAGCGATTTTTCGGGTATCCACATTTATACCTGTTTCTCGTCAAAATGCCCAATCAACACCTTCCACTTGGTGAGTCATTGTAAATTATTCTTTTCATTCCATTGACTGTGGTGAAGTACCAGATGAAATAATTTTGCCTGAGACTGAAAGAGCTTTGGCTGATGGAGGGCAACTGTAACCGATACCGTTCTGTGTGAAGAACTCCAGAAAGTTTTCGATACGTCGAAGTATACCTTGGGGTATGTTGCAGTTCTCGCCGGAGGATCCGTTAATGGTTTCTTTCCAGCCTTTCCAGCTTCAAAAGGATGAGAAAAAGGCTAGGATTCCTCAGTACACTGGCAGCAAAAGCATACTGTTGAGACTGTCTCGGAACATTTGGACGAAATGCGGGAGCAATTCCCTAAGGCGGGTTATTTCGAAATGAAGAAGCATCTAAGAATCGACCACAATGTGCGAGTTTCAAGGTGAGTCTTTAAATTCTTCTAATGGTACAATTCTTAATGAAAGGGAAGAGACGTAATCAAGGAATGGGTGTATTTGAAGGAACCCTTGCATGCGTCCCTAAGAATTCGAAAGGGACTCAGTCAGAAAAGTTTTTTATTGTGCTGGTGTCAATGACCTCTGGTGCGTCGACCAACATGACAAGTGGAAATATTGCTTTGGCCTCTGCCTTCACAGTGGTGTAGACCCTTTCACCTGGCATCCTGAAGTGGATGCGAGTCTGGTGGAACAATTCAAATCCCATCTTAATCTGTTCATACTACCTGGATGTAGTGGAACACACCGGGTGTAGGTCTTTAAACCTTTCTGCAAAGCGTCACTATCTTACTCTTGTCCAGATGGTCCTGTTCTTACACAAAGTGATATGGGCAACGAGAACAGTAACCTGGCTAGGGCACATAGCTTCTTGCACCAATGGGCCGACAAGGACTTGGACAATACCTTGCAGCACCGATGGATGGCAGAGAAGAAAAACATTCCTTCAGAAATCAGTATGGAGTGTGTTCCGCACTCACTTTAGCTTTGGCTATGAAGGAATCTTTCAGTTTGGCATTGAGCAAGGCTGGTATGACCCGAAGGTGCCTCTGGAAGCATACGTCTCTTCTCTTTAACAGCTTCAAATCGAACTGGACTCAGCTGATTTCATAGATTGATATTCCGTTTCCTTTTTATCCCTTGGTTCCAATGAGAACTCGATTTGTATGTGATCAAAAACAACACGACAAAGAAAAGATGAAATCACAAGGTGGCAAGACTGAACGGAGTCCCTTTACTCATTGAACAAGCTCCTGAGCGATTTGGGGCCCAGGATTTCAAGGTACCTACAAGCACCTATCATTTTTCCAAATTCAACTGTTTCTTCATAGGCTTGCTTTCATCCCAGAATCTATACAAGCTGCGAGGCAAATTTATGCCCCACCTGATCACCCATGCTGCAGCTTGTCCCTAACTCATTTAGGCAGTGGGCTGAAGTATTTATGGAGGAACTCGGCCATCCAGAAGTAACCCGAGAGTGCATCTGGAATGTATACCTTGCATTGCTGGATAAATTTCACGAAGCGCCATATTGTTGTTCTTGATGAATGGCACGTCGCTTCTACGAGAGCATACGAAGCAGAAGAAACCAACGAAGAATCAAGGAGGTCCAAAACGAGGTGGTTGGGCAAGGTCAGAATCTTTCAAATCGGACACTAAGCAATCTGATAAACTTCAATCAGACCAAGCTACAATACCTGATATTCCAGACTTGAACAGTGACGACGAACTTGATGATGCCGATGCAGGAAGATGTCGAAGCTGATGAAGAAGATGCTGAAATTTCGGGCGAGGCACCCGTTATAGAGATGTCCATCCGAGAATTCTTACAGCATATGTAGTGAATGATGTTATATTTTCTTTTGCTCAGGCATACGAGACTACATTATAGGTGGTCGTGGAAGGGGACAAAGGCCACGAGCCAGTTCATCTTTTGAATTCTATTCTGGGATGTCACAGGATGGCACTCAACTCGCATGGTCATATGACGGCTCGATGGCATGTGCTGACTAAGACTCGTCATCCAGCTCGATGACATTGCTGACTAAGACCCACAATCCAGCCTTCCAGTCTTTGAAGACAGATATAAAACGGTGTGAGATATAACATTCAAGGGTCACTTTGAAATGTGTCTGGGCATACCTCTGAATGGGCGGATGCGATCTTGTGCTCTATTTTCTCATGAAATCCCATTTATAGTATTCACGCCTTTTAGGGCGTATGTATACATCTGGTTTCTATACCCTACGTTGTGGTCTGTCTCGAGTGGTATCTACTGAGGGTGGTACACTTTACTAACTAATTTCTACTAGCGCGTCGTGAAAAGAGGGGGGGGCAGGAGAGAGTGATATCTAGGCGGGCTGTACTTGGGAGAGATGGGTTTGTGGCCTTGGGAGGCCCGAAGGTAGTCGCCTTGGATAGTGGTCGAGTTGTGTGAGGGGGGTTTTCGCAGGGTGTTGTAGATCGGGGATCACATAGCCATGTGTGGCATCTACGTAGCACTTGCAGAGGTTGTACGTTAGTACAGGCTTATGGATGAAAGTGTGTGAGGACTGTCCTCCAGTGTGGAGGTGGGAGGAGACTGTCTGCGAAACATGAATCCTCCCCCTCGCATGCCCGAGGCACCTCAAGATGTTGGCTCGAGCTACATTCCACAGGGGAGGAGCATCTTGCCATGGTCTTGCATCGTTTGTTGCTAGGAGTAGGTGTCGTAACATGTGTAGAATACAGTGTTGTGGTTAGTGATGGTCGCTCAATTTTCTCTCAAAGGTACTGTTAATCAATGATAGTTGCCTGTGGCAAGGGATGATTATCTGGGGCTCAGTCAAACATCTGCTGTGTTGGTTGCTATACGCAATCACATGTGGTAAGTTGTTCTCTACCGTAGGTGTATTGTAAGGGAAGAAAGAAAAATAAAGAACCTTGTAAGACATCGTGAACGTGTATGTAGCTAAGCATTCACAAAAAAATCGAGTTGAGGAGAGTCGAGAAAGGAAGTTGAAGAATGCCAGTCGGAGCGTAGGAAATGACTGATGGAGTAGGTGGTAAACACAGCTAGCTTGTGTTACCAGATTCACATTAAATTGATTCTATGATACCATTTCATAGATTGTAGTATCCTTTATAACATTCTGTCCTTTCTCGCAGGCAAACAGATGTGACAAAATATTGTAGAAAACCGAAGAAAATTCTATGCTCTTTCTTAGGTACTGGAGACGATGGGAGATAGGTACCTGATATCCATATGATAGACACCTTTGTCTATGTACATTTTCTCTTCTGCTCACGGTGTGATTCCTCCGGGTCGTCCACTTCATTAGGCTTCCTTTTAAGACCAACAGCTAATCCAGTCTGCTCCACTATCTCGACGTCACTTTCGCATGAATCTGCTGCTACTGGAGGTTGCGTTGCCATCATAATGAACCATTCGTTGGAGAGATCAATGATCTCATTCTGAAAAGATGCTCGCAAGCCAGGAACCTCTTCATCGTCCCAAAAAGTCTTCAGATCAATGCCAGTCGGAAGGGTTGAAGTTGACTGATAATGTCTTATGTGAATGAGTTGAGGACGACAGGTGAGAATGATTACCATGACTTTGTAAAATTTGTCAGGATCTGACATGAATTTTGCAGCAAAGTGCATCATGTATAATCCACAGTCAGAAAAGTTTGGTTGTTTGGGTACCTGCTTTTGTGTTAAGCCAGTGATTGGCATGTGTTCTGGGACCTACAGTGACAGTTTGACCAATCGCCTCCGTTATATTTTGCAACCCCTTCTTGTCGAGGGCTTCAAGGGCTGAGGAATTTCCCTAATTGGCTGGCTTCGCTCCAATGCGAATAACCAAGGGAATCGAGGGTAAAAATAATCGTTCTGGATCGATGTGATTACAATGAACCACACAGTTCTAGTCTGACTTACCTGTGGTCATTGCTTTCGGACAAGTTTTGATTTTCACCGTTTCCAAGGTGTTCTTGATTCGTTAGCAGCGCATATTCGGGATGGCAAATAATGGCGAGGTACCAATGAAGACTATATACGTTGTCAAGTCACAGTTGAAGCAGCTAGGGAGGAAAATTACTCTTCATGCATTGGTATAATCAAGTATTTCTTCTTGAATATGTCGAACTTTGCAGTCCAACGGCGGACGTCTTGGTAATTCCTATGAGAATATATAAGCACGGCTCCCAGTGACGTTGATAAGAGCTCACTTCTGGAACTTTGGGAACCAAAAAGGACTAAAAATAGTAATTTCTTTTGCAACGGAGGGCTTGCCAGTTTGCAGAAGTTCATACGTCAGCCTAAAGATATTTGTAAAAATTGAAACAGGTGGTTTACAAGTCACACACCATAATCCGAGCTCTATGAGATTGTCGTTCAAAAATTCTCCAGGTGATAACCGAACTCAGATCACTGTTGCTAATATTCACACCACCTGTCGTAGTCCATGGGTACACTAGTATTCTGCAAGGCATGGGCAAAGATTCGTAACATTGGAGAAGGACGAACAACTCATCAGGATCCTTTGCTTGCAGCTCACCGTCAGATGCTGTTTCCGAATTTGCTGAGGCAAGCAAGTTTTTAGGTGATTGCAAAGACTGAAAGTTCAGCAACGAATATATGATTTCTTTTGATGAACTCGATTCATCCTGCAACTGGTAAAATAGATGACCGAAGACAGTCAAAATTGAACCTGCCTGGGTTTTGCGCTTGTCCCTTCTTTCGATTCCAGTATGGAATGGTCTCGAAATGGCAGATGGCTTCGGCGGAACAGGGAAATCTGGTTCATCTGGGCTTGAATCTTGTGAACAGTCTTCAGCTACGTTATCTTGATCCTCCTCATCTTCTGGAGAGAATCGGAATAAAGGGACAGTTTTTGGCCCTGAGAAACCCTGTGAGAATGAAACAAATTGCAGAATGTGCCAATTTACTCAAGGGCTTATATCTTTGGGTACACATAGCCAATAGGAGTCAAAAGTGATTGATGAATGATAACGATCTTTGATGTGAGCAGTTACTTCATCGGAGTCTGAACTGAGTCTGAATTTCCCATGTGAAAACAATTTGCCTAAAGTCAACACGTTTTGAGGTGCAATGCTGTTGATCTTCCAATTGGTAGTACTTGCTCTGGCTGCCATCCTGTTCTTTACTATGGCTAGAGATTTATCTGTAAAGAATTATATTCCCCTAGTTCCGATTGAACCTAATTTCCAAAACTATAGTAATTGAACACGTATGAGCACAGCTACTCTACAAAGGACCATGTGGTATGGAGAATCTCTTATCTAAATGTGGAGTGTCTTCAGAAATTGAGTGTCTTCAAATAAATCAGCAAGTCACCTGTTTCGACCTATTTATGCCAGTTAGCAGTGAACAAGGGGAATTTCGTTTTGGACCTAGTATACATAACTGACCATGGATTTTGATGCACATATTGCACAATCTATCGAAGTCAAAGACATTGCACTCTACTGGTTGACATATTGTCTCATGTGATGTCATCAACACGGCATCATCCATAATTGCAGCTCGCCTGAAAAGCTCTAAGAACTTTTCAACCATAGCTTCAGGTACTTGATCATGCCGCTATCAGTTCCTGGGCAAAGAGATCGAAGAAAAAATTGTCCGAATACTGATCCCCTCAAAACCATCGATCAGCTGCGCTTTAGTCCCATAAACCCAAGGCTCAAGCTGAATTGCACTGATTGATGTCCTTTATAAAGAAACGACTCGCCAACGATGAAGACATACGGTGGAAACTTGATTGAAACATTTCATTTTCGGAAGCGTATGGGTCTTTGTTTTTCTCGGAAGGTTATGGATGCAAGATTAACATAGGTTACTTACTATCCATAATCTATGACCTGTACAGTTGCGCATTTCAGAACCACGAAAAGCATAACAATGTATCTACGTACAACCCACAGGCTCATTTCAAATCATGGAATGCCGAGTTTGCCATAAGCACAAAACTGGGAATTTTGATTACCCAGCGGAAAGGAAAAATAAATATTATGTAGATGATATTCAATGTTATGCTATACTTGGCTACAGATAAGTTTCCAGGGTCATATTGCTATACATGGCAGGTGTTAGCATTGCAAATACCGGCTATTGCTTATAACCAGAGCATACCAGTCTTGTATTCCATAGGTAGACCTTGCTTACCAGCAAGGTAAATTCGCCCTCCGTTACGGTGATGTGACCCCTCGAAAAGGTAGTCACCTAATGAACTGGTTCACGAGTGCTAAGTCGCGTGCAGTGGGGGTGGCATCCAAGAGAAATTTCAACAAGTCCCTTCAGAACTTAGAGTATTTTTTTTTTCAGTTGGTAACAATAGTTTTATATTTATGCAAAAACCATCACTAAGAAGATGTTACATTTTCACTACATGTCTACAACTACTAGAACTAAGAATAAGCAGATAAATATGCATACTTATATTCTCTCATGAGCTAAATGTCGGTCCCAGAGCAGCACCACGGTCCACCAACAGTATGATATGTCAATCATGACGATCAGCTCCATCTAGGCAATAGTTGTGCCCCCGCTGATAGCCCTGATTCTGGGCTTCTTGAGTTGTGATGTGCAAGGCCCAAGGGTGGTTGAATTCATGGGGCAGAGTGGTGGTGGGAGTGGAAAGTAGCTGATGGGAGATGACAGCAGCAGTGTGTGTGGACATCATCATCGTCAGTGATGGCGAAGGGGATCATGGTGGGAGAGTAGGAAAGAGATGGTGGCAGCAGGTGGCACACTGAGTGAATTGAGCTGACCCATGGTTGTGTGCCAGCTCGCCAGATGACTTCCTCTTTAGGACTCATGTGGTGGCTGTGCTGGAGGGTGAATTTTCAAAAACTTATGGAAGGTACCTGGAACCATTTTGAATTCTTCCAAACTTGAATTTCTTCACTAAAGCTCTTCTTCAAACTGGTCTTTTTCTGCATGGCTTCTCTGTGCTATATCCAGTGGAGGCTATCTCAAGGTCCACTTACTCGCCCTCAGACCTTGGCAGACTAGTACTTGGCCAACAATTTACTATTTGTTGCGACTTGTCCATCAGTGACATCAAAAAAGTCTGCCTCATGTACACCATTCAAGTGTATGTAATGCTTGTTCCTTGCACATGCAGTCCGAGTCACAAGCACTATTAGTGCCTTATTTTTATACTGGGGCATCGCCATCTTGTAGTCTTACATGTCATTCATGTCATGGTTGTGTATCCACCAGTTCAATGTATGATCTAATACATCTTTGCTCGGTCTCGATCTCAGTCATGGATAAAGGATGTCTGCTGCTTGGGGCATGAAACAATAGACCTTGGCAAGCTATGATTGGGGCTTTCTGATGCCCAAATGGAGTGCTGGCTTTTTTATACAACCTGACGTAGCTTCAACCTTACTGGCTTTCTATATTAGTGATTGCCTCACTGTTGGTGGCCATCTGTTAGTAGCAGTTTCAGGCTGCCCTGAAGAAAGTACTCGATAGCTGCACCGGTACCCCCAGACAGGCTTAGAGATAAGCACTGAGTTGTACCCTGTCGGGGGACTGAGCCCGCATCATGCATTCCTGAACCTTCTTTCGAAGACGTCTTTACTGCCGTATACCTGTGTTCCACTATGCTGATGCTGCATCACACAATGATCATTCAAAGGCCTGGTGGTATGGGCACAGTGAGCATCCCTATATAATGTCAGCTGCAAGAGAATACTTTCGTGAGTCCAAGTTCATACACTAACCAACGACTACTTGATACTCAAAATTTTATGGCAGGTTTGCACTATTTGTATAAAGGGGCTGTAATCTATGTGGTCTTCTTGATTTTTCTATACGACTATTATCAAATCATGCTGCATGGGGAAAAGGTGATGCTGTATCAATTTTGACATTGCAGATGGCACTATCTGACGTTGCTATACATTGCTACTTCTTCAAGTTGTATTCAAAGCTAATTACTGGCCAAAAAAACTGTAAAGAGGTCTAGATCTCCCCCAGCATTGCTCTGTTCCTGTGTCGCCACTAGCAAATATAAATCAACCCAAGTAAAAATCGGAGCCATTATTCATATCTCTAAAATGGATTTATATTCTCTTTCAGGTGCAAGGTGTCCATTGTTAGTGTTTCTTTCATTCTATCTAGACAAATGGCAATGATAATATCAGATTCTTCTTGTCATGCAAAGACATCCTGACTCAATAACCTCCTTCTGTCGATGTACTTAGTGCTCTTCCCATCTTCATCCATGCTACTCTCTGACATGAAAGTCAGGTTATGCCATCTCAACTGCAATACATCAATCTGATATTGGCATTGGCTCTTAAAAAGGGTACCACCTCTGCCATCCTCTATCTTCTCAACTATCTCTCAACCTCACTTTACATCCTTATCTTCGCTCCATCCACAGCTTCACCATGTGTTGCTGTTGACAGTGAGAAAATTCTTGCCTCTGAATCTACTATTCTCATTAGCTTACAGTGTTAGAAATGTCTACCTCAGATGTGGCCATGCTGTCAACCTCATACGCCCTCTACATTTTAGCATACCTGCATTTACTAATTGCCATTAACTTAGCCTGAAGAACTTGTACGACAAATTCTATATGAGTGTCCGTCTCAGTTTTTGTGTTTTAACAACATTCCTAGATTCAATGTGAGGAGGCTGACTGCAAGTTCAGTCTCTTCCACTCTGTATGATGCAAACCACTGACTTGTTTGCAGACATGTTGACAATAGTATGTTTATATTTAGTCACCCTAAGGACTTTCTTAACCTCCATTTTCTAGCCTCCATTATCCAGAACAGTATTGTACGAGAACTCTAGCAACCTTTCCGTTCTCGTGTGCTAACATCTATGATAGCCCCCAACATTGACAAGTATTGTCTCTCCTGCTACCAGGCAATTCAATATCAGTGCTGCCACCAGTAAAGAAGGATCCCACTGCATGCACACTGCATCACTATTGTGTGAGGACTAACTTATTCAGCAAACAAATTGATGCAAAGCTTAGTAGTAGTACTGGTTATTTCGAAATACAACACTAGTGTGGATGTGCACATGCTCTACAGAATAGAAGAAAAAAAGTGCAGATAATATTATCAAGTGTGTAGATGGCATTCACTATAGGACCATAACCTTGCTTTTAAGTGCTGAATGACCAGATGGTTGATATCTATGATGGTGATTTAGAGACAAAAATCAGAAATCAACTATTTTTGACCTTTTCAATCAGGAATACCGGGTATTTACCAGTATTACTGGGTACAAGCCTCCAACCCATGTCTTTGTCACGATTGCCGGACCCTCGTACCTCGAGTCCTGGCAACCTGACTACAACACGGGTTTTCAGCTTGTTGGGGCCTGCCCTAAACCCGGCTTATTACTTGGGACATTAATGGAGTAAAATCTTTGTTAAGAGACTCTGAGCTGCTGGAAATAGATGTCATCAGGGGATATAAACATAGTGATAAGTTGAGGCTCAAACAAAATATATTCCAATTCCCAATATACATGTGAACTGAGTACTATGTGTCATGAATTCACCTCTATTTTTCGCTTATCTTATCTTATCATGGTATCTTATCACAGCAAGTCAGCAACTCGTCATTCGACTCTCGTCATCATTCCTCGTACCTGATCCGCATCATTCATGACCCGCTCGGTCTCATCGCCCACACAGCACCATCCCACACCAGGGACCACATCACTAGGACTCTGTCATGGGCTCTGCTACCAGACCTCGTAGAAGGCAGCACGATACGGGTGCTGACCTTCTTACTCACAGGGGCGCTTCTAGCATCATCATGCTCCCACCGCATCACCGGGGCATTGCCACAACACAACCATCAGTTCCATCTGATTGGTCCCTGGATCCACCACTCACATGCATGATCCGTTTGATGGCCCATAAACCAATCACACTCTATGGGCTGGATCCTTCTTCACCCAGTCATGCTTCTTTAGGTCGTCTGTGATCACATCCTAGGATGGACCAGCCGCCACGTATGCTCCTCAGAAGACCGTGCCCTATGGATGCTAGTCTTCTTACTCGCAGGAGGGCTTCTCCTATACCAAGCACCATACGATACAAAGGACATAGAAGACAGCGTTGCATTGGGACTGCACGCACTGAGACACAGGAGCGGTACATACTAGTAAATACCACAATGTATTTAAACGAGCCTCGCTGTGGTCTTACACCCCAGCTTCGGCTAAAGTTATACACTCCTAACTTTTCACACAGAAACTCCCTGCTTGCCAGACTAAGGACTATTGTTTCTGACCTAGCGATTGCAATGCCCTCTTCACAACTGAATCACCGAACACGAGTGACAGTTTAGAGGCAAACATTGTTCAATCCAAGTTAGTGCGTTACAATTAGCCGAAGCTTGTATTAATACCCTCATCGTTGTTGCACGACGGTGACCGTATTGTCTTGCTTGATTGCTGACACAAGCTCGTCAGCAACAACCCTTCTATAAAGCTACACCCCACAGAAAGCACCGATCCTCACTACCCCATCAGTGAGCGAGTAATGGGCTCCACCTCAACTGCCCTCGTCGTTTTCCTTAACAGAACGATCGCAGTATCTGGAGCATTCAAATAAGGAACCTTTGTCCTTACACGACAAAATCTTGGGGTTGCTCACCCCTAATGAAATACTTCATATCCTCATCACTGTTTCCTGACGGTGACTGTATGAAACCAATAGGCTCTATCACCAGCTGTACCCTCATCCTAGGAACCCTTACGTCCCTAGTAAGGCACCCCCTGTATTGCAGCACTCGATCCCATCCACAATCGCGAGATGGATCAACTCCCATTCGCCCCATCACAGGAGGAGACCACCGAGCTCAACCTGATGGGTCAGAACAGGACCTCCAGGCCCAATATCCCGGAAGTCCACAATTTGCTGCTGGATACTGGAAGGATACCAAAGGATCCTGGGATGATCCCAATACCTCCATCGCCTCCAACATCCAACAGTTCTACACCGACGAGTACAACCGACTCATCAAAGTCCGAACTCTGGAAGAGGGTAGTAGAAGCGATGGTGGCGAGGGACATGCGATCAAAGAAACAGAGTGGCGAAGAACCACCTTCGAAGGAATCGTTAATCCTTTCCTCCCTACCTGGGGAAAGGAATGAGAAGGGGGATGAACCACAGTCAGAAAAACCGACGCAGGAGGACATCGAAGAGATGAATCTCCAGAGTCATTCGGAAAGGCCAGACCAATGCTCCATGCCTCAGAGCTCAACGGGGGAATCTACTCCCCCACCGGAACTCCAAGAGAGGCATGGGGAGTCCACACCGAGTCAGGAGATCAATTACCAGACTCATACCTCAAGGGAGATATCTCCCGCTGGAGCCCAGACATCGGCTCCTCCTGTGAGGCAGAAGTCATCCAGCTCGAATCCGAAGTTGCCTCAAAGAGATCCGCTTGCCTCTGTAGCCGGGTATATCAATGGTATCACCAAATCGCTCTACAACTCGCATGCAGAATCCACCAAATGGCCAGGAAAGAAAGAGGAGTGGCCAAGGAAAAAGGGATACTGGATTGGGGATCGCTCTTTCCAGTGGATTCCTGGATCACCCCTGAAGAAGGATCCTGGGACCTACCCCCCATGCACTCCGACTCAACCGCTGACGACACCTGGCACTCAATTGCCGGGGACGGCTGGGAATCCCCCTGGCCAGACACCTCATATGAGGCCATATGGCCCAATTCCATGGCTCGAACGGCCATCAACGAAGACCTATGGGACTCACTTTCCACCCCTGTACTCCTGGGAAGGGAATACCGAACAATCCCGGAAGAAGAAGAAGAAAGTGAAGATAGCGATACCCCCACTGACACCTCCTCTGATACGGACGAAACCGTCCATGTCCTTGGTGCTGAATTTCAGCACTGAAGACATCTTCAATACAAAGAAACCAGGAGGAGACTGGACCAAACCGCACCTACCAACTGAGGTGTTTTGGACCACGTTGCTTGACCCCGAACTAGGAAAGAGAGTCCCCTCTCTTTCCCAATACAGAGGCACGTCGCACCCCGAAGTAACAGATGAAGGAATGGACATGGACTGTCTCAAACGAGAAAGGCGATGTTTCCGGTGTGGACACACTGGACATATCCAGAAGAGTCGTAAATGTGATCTGCAAAAAGAATGGTTCACCAAGGATGCCGATGAGCGGAGAAACTGCTTCGCATGGCAACAGCAAATGGGATTCATGGAGGGACAATGCCTTCGTTGTGGATTCCCTGGACATACTAGACAGGATAACCAATGCCCATCTGACAGGTCCCAATGGCGCTCTGCTTGAGAAAGCAGAGCAAAACCCCTTGACGAACAAGCGCTGAGGGGAAGGCGTCGACAAAGGACTAGGCCATTTGCCTAGGTCGACCAGGACTAGTGCGTTTTCAGCAACAAAGAAAAAGGAGTCGAGGACGGACTAGGCAATTTGCCCGTGTACAACAGGACTCAATTTTCTTCCAGGTAAAACCTTACTACAAATTCGTACTTAAAAATTATGTTTGTAGGTACCGATACGGACAATAAATCCCTTTTGTTGCGGTTATACAGGGAAGGAGACAACCTTTAAAAACAAAAAGAACTCCAAGGATTCAAACGAATCCTGACACCGTCGCTATGGATATGTTGTGCATCCAGGAAGCGACAAACTGGAAGAACTATGGCTCTATATCAATGACGACACGCTGTGCATCGACAGATGACATTCGTCACCGAATGAACTGGAAATCCCAGCCAACCCACTGAAAGATGGAGAGACCGACCTCCGTCGTAGGGGACACTGGATTCCCAGACTGCAGGACTAGTCAACCTTGAAAGGTTGACAATCAAGAGCTATGACCAATCTGGTCAGCTCAACAGAGACCCATCCATGCGAGTTGGAACCTCCACAAACGAAGGAAAGGCAGTGCGCTAAAATGGAAAAAACTCTGGTCGACTTGCCCAAGTAAAGGAATCAATGAAGCGTAGAAGCAACAACTCAACGTCATCCACCATAATGTCAAAAAGAGATGACTTTCCCCTTGAACCTTTACAGCAAGGTAGACCCGGTAAACCCGCTTAATTGCACCGATCACACCGCATCATCATCACACTTGTCTGATGATCTGTTTGATGGCCCAATAGACCTGATCAAACTTCTATGGGCCTGACCCCCTTTCTACCGAGTCACGCTTCTTAAGAAGCTGGCCGTGGCACATCCAAAGGAGTATGGAAGCAAAATCATGTACAATGGGACGCCTCTCCTATACTAGCATAACCAACCCAGAAGGAAGCAACGCGTTAGGACACAAAAAGAGAACCCCACCAGATGAGATGAAGACTTCCAATCCCACTGGACGAAGCGGGGTACGAGGGATTTCCCCCGCCGCCAAATCGGCAATGAACCCCAACCGTCAGGACATGCCGCCTTGCAGTGGCGCTGATGACATGAGAGGTCAAAATGAAGGCCAAACCGGGGCCAGACTCTCAGAAAAGCGCAACTCGTGCGCAACTCCAGAAACGAGCAAGCAAACCGCTGCTGTTGGCAGCGGCGGATCAAGAACGAGTAGGCCCCTCTGTGATGGCGGGGAACCCCTCGGAAAAGCAGAGGCCCATGCCGCAGGGACAATGGAGGCCTGCAGTGTAATAGAGCTACTGGATGAAGGTGAGGCAGTAACCCCCATTGTCCCCGGAAGCAGGATCGACACCCCAGCTCAGATCAAGCTCCCAGCAGGGGAGAAGAAATTGCCTGATGTGGGGAAAGTTCCGAGAGAGTCGGCAAGCCCCCCACACCAGGATCAGACTGCGCCCAGTCGCCCTGGCGAAGATCGGTCGACAACTCAGACCGCCGCTCCTACCCCAATTGTAGCAACGGCTCACGTTGGAAAAGCAGCTGAGGCGAGGAATCAGGGGAATCCCACAGGACCTCCTGACAAGCCAATATGTGTGCATCCGCAAAGGGTTACCGATCTACCCATCGGGGTAAAGGACAAGGGTAAGGACCCTTCAAGAATAAAGACCTCGCAGGGCAAAAGCCATACTGCTCGAGGCAGAGACCAGGACAAGAGGTCTCTGGGGAGTAAGTCCTCGAGGAGCCGGTTCTCCCCTCGAGGCAACCAAGCAAGTAAAAGGTAACCATGACCAAGATCCCGAATGACCAGAAGACGACAACGAGGGCTATCGGAAAATGAACACCAACTCAACACCAAGTTGGTGCTCATTTTCCGAAACTCTTCACTGGGAATGAGTAGCCTTAGGGCAAAAGTCCCAGAAAAGCCGTCCCAAGGGATGGCGATGCCTAATACCGTCGGGATCAAGAATAAGAGCAAGGGTGACCAACTCCCACTTAGGACCCATAGCGGTCCGGCGACCAATTGCCGTCACCTCGAACGGTAACTATTACTAAAACTATTAATGACAAAATGGTTTTAGTTACCAACAGAGTTTACAGGACTCTTAAAAACCCGGACTGTGCAGGCCATCCCCGAGTGGAAAAGACCTTAGTAGCACAAGCGAACAGGCAGGAAGCTAAGTAACTGCAGAAGCACAATGGGCCACAAGACCTGCAGCGAACAGTGACAGGGGGAAGTCCCTGATGCCAAAAGAGGGAAACCTCGAGTACTCATCAGAGGAGTACCCTTCGGACTCAAGAAATTCTGGTTAAACTCATCCAAGAGGAGGAATTCATGAAGCGTAGGAGTAACACTCAGACTCTACCAACCCTAAGAGGAGAGGCGACTCCCCCATGAAACCTCCCCGATGAGAAAGACCAGATGCGCCATATATGCCTAGGTGGACACAAAGGGCCATGCACCTTAAATCAAGGGCTGCAAAACCCATTTATAGAGGATATACCATTGATGAACAGGAAATTTAGGCGATTAATGCACAGCCTAAATGACCTGCCGTTAGAGAAAAATCCACAAAAATCCTATCCCAACCAATTGCCGGTGGACCCGCAAAACATGAAAATTAGAACTCACGTATGAAGAGGTCTATACCCCACCGTCATTGGTTAGCATGAATAGTACTCAAAAAGGGAGTTATTGGCCATAATAACTACCTTGAATGGATCGTACCACTGCCGTATAGGAGCAATACCGAAGGATTTGGATAGTAACAATCATCCCAATCCCCTCCATTCCTAACCCCGACGAGCTTTGGAAAAGTAGTAAATCGATAAACAACACCAAGTTCCCTAACTACAGAGCCATGCTAAAGAATTGGTTGGCGACCCACTCCTTGCATCTGAGTCACTGAATATCAGCACCAGATTGGAGCCCTATGGGTGAACAAACAACCTTAGCATATGCCATAGTCAAAACTTCAAGATGCCACTTCGTTAACCACACTCCCAAAGAATCACGGATTGATTGATTGATCCTGATCAATGGATCGACCATCAGGGCCACAATCAAATTGATGCAGAGGCCAAAAATCAGGAGCCACTGGCTCAAACAACGAACAACAAATCCCTTTCGTTCAGAAATATAGGAAAGGAGAAAACCTTTAAAAACAATGATTACAAACTATAGAGGAGGAGAAAACCTTCGAAGAAATCAAATGGCTAAACCAGAAAACTCCACTGCGACGAGAAAGACGAATCATCGTTAAACATCAAGGAACCTTCTGGGATAACCAAGTCAAAGGATGATAAATCCCTTTCATCCCGATCAATAGGGGAAGGACAAAACCTTCACAAAAAATCAACTATCGCTGACTGAGAACAGTCAACCACTATTCTATAGCTGGACACCCCCTATCGGTCTCCAATTAATTAACCAGAGTTATTGGATCCCCAATCTATGGGTACTGCCAATCCCTTTCGCTGGGAAATACGAGGCTGCGGAAGCCATACAACTGAACACCAAAGTGGGAATACCCTCGGGAACCTGGAACGAAGCCCTAACGTAACCTGGGTGACACCCCAGAGTCCGATGATGCCCACTACTCCCCTCACCATAGCCATGTCTCTACCGGCATCTAGAATGCCAAAGGACATAGGCTATTATGAGAAGCATACCCAGGAATTATATGCCATAATAATTACCTAGGAGAACAATGAAGCTGTTTCTCAACGCCAGCATTCGTGCAACACCTAGGATCGAACAGGAGGAGTCTCTGAAAAGTAAAGTCCTTGGGGAGCTGGTTCTCCCCTTGAGGAGACTTCTTCAATGGACTACGTCTCTATTCCAGACTAACAACGCACCAAGAATGATCGTGATGAATCCCCACAACAGTAATTGACACTCTGTTCATGACTGTTAACCACTCCAACCAACCTTACCACTAAGGAGAAACCCCTCGAGTGGGGAACTCCGTGGCAAGACACGTTGAATGAATTGTTACGGATAGTAAAACCCTTCTATCCAGAAACACAGGGAAGGAAGTAAACCTTTAAAAACAACAGTTCGCATATTTATTCCCCTTTCGCCGGGACACGCAAGACTCTGGAAGTCTTTCATCGGCAAATGCGAGGCTATGGCAGCCACACAGCCAATAGACCGGGAATCTATCCAGATTCCCACCTGAGGAGTAAACCTCATAAAAATCTCATATTTATGATGAGCATGGTCAATACCACCCACACGAGGGTTGGAATGGTATGTGACCTCAAAGATGAAGGATTGTCAGGAGAACCCCCTCCTAAATAAAAGATCGATGACTGAGAACAGTCAACAGTTACTAATCAGCGACCTTCGCAGATAGTGGCGCCCATGCACAACCTACCAAGGTGGAGAGACCGACCTCTGCCATAGAAGGAGCACCAACAAGAACACCAATGAAGGAATTAATCCCCAAGGGATCACCTCACTCAACCCAGCAATTGCAAGGGTCTCCGATATCCAAATCACCCGACGAGTGTTGATATCGATGCAAGACGAACCTTGTTCAATCCAAGTTGAGGATCGATAATCCAAGGAGAACCATCAATGCCATCAGAGACTGACCTGATAGCATCCCTTCAACAATTGAGAACTACCTCATTAAAAGATCGCTAGCTGAGAACAGCTGCAAAGACCAGACCAAGACGTCATCCTTGGCTGGTACAAAACTGACCGATCATGATCTAAATGATCGAGGATCAAGACCACGATCAATACCGATACCAAGGCCAAAACCGGAGAAGTGACCTCCTATATCAAACATCGTGGCATGAGAACATGCAAACGATACTAATCAGTGATATTCCCCTCAGGGTTCGCACAGATCAACCCACAAACCAACAGCTCCACTTGAAAAGTGGATCCCAATGAGGTGCAAGCTGCGCCAAGAATAGGAGAGCCATTAGGCTCAAAACGGAGGAATTTG